AGACATGCTCTTGCATTTAAATTTGCAGAGCGAAACTAATGGGAACCCTGCCAGTTGCTTCAGGGGGCAGAACGATTTACCCCGTTGTGCTTCCCTTCCTCCAGTCAAACCTCTTCCTTGTCTGCAACTGCTGTTCACTGTGTTTACCTCGTAGACTAGATTTGCAATTGTAATCCCTCATTAACTTTTAACAACGGACATATCGACCGTCTTTCACGCGCGCTTTGTGACCATTTTGCGTTACCGCGTGTTGTTCGCAGGAATGTGATGCTAAGAACAATTTACCGTTTTTTACCGGTGTTGTTTAGATTTGCACTACTTTGTGCAACAACTCAGACCGAAACCACCATAAGTTGAGGCTTTTTTCCCCTTTAATCAGTATTGTATATATCTAGTACCGCATTTCATTAAAACATATCAAGAATCCACAATTTCTGGCTTGTGATTTTGTGCGCCATAAAAGGGGGATTTCGCTAATACGCCGAAGTATTCTAAACGTGACAAAAGTGTTCTTGCCTTATGCTGACGGACAGTGACCGGTTTGATCTCAATGAGGTGTAAAGAACTGCATTACGTAGAGGTACCTCCTGATAGGTAGGTTTCAGTGAAGCCAGGTTTAGTGGTTATCACCGACACAATTTGTGTGGAAAAAGACATTGGTACAAGCCACTCGAGTTTTTCCAACTGAACGAGTGGACCAGACTGTTCCAGCTTTATTTGATTCATTACATGGTTAATTTTCCTTCTCCAGGACGCTAAATAGCTCGCCTGCAGAACTGCCACTAGTAGCAAAAGCCACATGTGAGCAGGCTTACGAATTCGTTTTATTACTGTGCGGTTCTCACTCCCTGACTAATCAGCGGCGGCAGAAGATTGCATCCATAAGGGAAGGGCCGACCCTGCGCGGGCGTTCGTCGCGTAGCGAAAGTTTCGAAGGGTGGGGCCCATGAGTGAAACTGGAGTGAACAGTGTTTACTTCAAATCACATAGTTTACGCTGCTGGACTCATGGTATCCACTGAGAGCCATCATCGCTCCGTGACTTTGAGAGGGCCAATATTGGACTTTGTTTGTAAATTCGTAATTACAACAGCCTAGAGATTTCGCTGCGCTGTATGTTTTACTTTCGCGCGTCACATAGGGGCAATGGCGGCAGCTGAAAAACTAGCGTGGACGATAGTTTATTTTACAAATTTTCAACCCATGCACTTGATTAATTTAATCTATACTTATCGTGAACAACGCCATTCACGGTTTTGCCGTTTTTGTGTCTATACTACCTTTCTCTCGCTTTGACCTGAATGTTGGCCGTTGTTTAATCTCGTTATCACACATCTTGTATAAGCCAGCATGTGGGTTCCACTACATTGTAGTCATTTTGCTTTGAGCAGGTGTTAAACTCTGGGTCCTGTCTGAAATTAGTGGTTCCTGACCCAACATGTAGAAGCCGGCGAAATCACAGGGCTTGAGGTTCGTAAGGTTTTAATAATTTATCACGCATCGTAGCACCGCGTCTCTTGATATGCATCCATCTGAACGACCGGCCTCTAGGGTTTTGCTCATAAATCAGCGTAGCACAAATGATCGCTAAATACTGTCCACAGTACCCAAGGTAAAGTGTTTTGGGGATCCAGGACGTTCATACGGGTTGAAAATTTTAGAACCCTTGGAACCAATATGACAATAACACGGAGTGCCAACTTATTTAAGGCTTTGTTGAAACCAGCTTTTGATGATTCGACAGAGGATATTGGCAACAGCATTGCTGACCATACCGTTTGTGCTTCCCAGCCTCCTCTATTACCTAGACGCCCCGGTGGTGGAAGGTTTCAGCAGGCACACAGGGAGAGCTTCTATGAACATTGGATTACAAATTAAGATATTGGAAGAAAAAATTTCGATGGAGGTAAATTACTTGGACATGGTGAGGTGGAGTTTGGCTTCGTAGTAGCAGACGCTGTTGCCTCATGAGTCCGCGGAAAGTTGATATCGGGTGACTGTGAACGCGAGTTTTTATTCAGTGGACAAAAATTCTCCAAGTCTGTTGCAAAACCAACCAACAAGAGACATAATATCCACATACGTCTCCGAAATTGTGTAGAAAAAATGTCGTCTCTGGAAGCCAAACCGGAATGGACGGCCCCAATGTTGAACACTTTACCACTGCTCCAGCTAACAAACTGCCAGAAGAAGAAATACATAAATTTGACGGAAACCAGCAGAGTTTTATAAGTTTGTGAAGGTCTCTAAATGACTATGGCTGATTAGCTATTTGGTGAGATCAACAGGCTTATGCACCTTCTCCATCAGCGCTGTGGGAAGGAAGAAAGGGGTCAGCGAGCATTTATTGTTCCACCCCGGAGTAGCAGGCTAGCGGAAAGCCATGGGCAGCTTCGGGACGCAGTGTGGCATGTCCCACGACATAGTACGGTCCTTCGTGAACGAATTACTGGTAGGCGGGTCCATTTCTTTCGGGGACCTCAATGTCTTGGGATGACTGAGCGGGACGTTGGACTGTGAACTGCCCTTGGGATAGGTGCAGTTGACTGTTGAACGAACTGCTCAGTGACTATCAGGCGCGTAGCAAAACGTGTTCCTGAGGATTTATGACAAAGGTGCATCAAAGCTGTGGACAATCAAATGCGTTTCAGAGCAGAAATTCCAGCACCAAACACTTCCTTGAAAGACATATCTCCATAGCATTTAACTGCTCCGGAAGTATTGCAAGCCTTACAAGAGACGCTATTCAAGTAGACAAATTAGTCTCGAATCATCTATTTTCTTAAAGAGCCCACATTAACGTCATGGCTATGAAACATATTATCGTCTTCCCTCATTGCTTGAAAAATAAGAAGCTTTCAGAATGAAAGTTTTCTTATCCTTTCTCAGGTTAAGTAGCTGCATGGACTGAGGTGTTTTAAGATATGCTTCAGCTGCTTGGAACCACAGTGCCTTTAAACATTGCTTCCCTTAACTTCCCGATATCCAAAACGGCAGCCAAATGCATTGTCGTCTGCTTCTTGACATAGTGTGTGGGATGAAGTCTGCAAAAGCTGCCAGCGTCAACCCAATCATAGTTTTGAATCTCTGAAGACACGTTTGGTTCGTCACGGTCCGGGGAGTTGGATCATGCTCTCTCGGACAACGGTTCTGGTACTACCTCATTGAGAGCCATCTTAGCAAAACAACTTGTGATAGGAGGGAAATCAACGATCAGTGGTAACTGGCCCGGACACCAAATATGTCATGACCGTCAGCTTTGCTTCACAGTCTTTGCTTGACTGGGTTGTTTTTGCTCTGCAACGAAGCAATCAAGACCGCTAAAGAGTTCCTGGTCAACAAATGCAAGAGAGAGCTCAAGTATTTCACCTGTAGCTCATTTTCCAGCAAAACACTCGCAAAAGTGGCATAATCCATCTTTGGTGTTGTTCTTACAAAGTTTGAATAGAAATCACTTCACCAAAAACTTTGTTTGGAAAGGGAAGGCCTTAGGTTGTAATAATACTAATACTAATACTAATAATAATAATAATAATAATAATAATAATAATAATAATAATGTTTACCCCCAATTTGTGGGTCGCACATCGTTGGGCATGATCATAATGTTAGGACACAAGCATGACTGGCACAGATTGTGGGCACAGAGGGAAATAAGAAAACAGACAGTGTCCTAGGGATCGGGCCTCATCCGATGTGAGTGTGGTCATCACTAAACCGGTACGGGCTGAGAACACAGTTACTATACGTTTTTGGACAAAATGTCGAGCAAGATCGGATCTTTAGGATTTGCAGGTGGCTGGCAAAAAACAGAGCGAAAGAGAGGACAAAACACGGGGCTTCCTGTCTGACACATGACAAAAAAGGTGTAACGGTGAAAAATGAGGAAGCAGATCAGCAGATCTGGTGGGGCAGCAGAGCTGGCGTCATCTAGCCGGTCATATTGAACTAAACATGAGCCACCGCTAAGGCCTCGTGGCCTCAGACTGTTAGGCTCATTGCCAAGGTCATAAAGAGCGTAAGTGGAGATGCTGAAGTGGAGGGCTTGGCAAAGCGGATTAGTGGTGGCAATAACTCAGAAACGTGGTGTACAGTGAAACTGTGGAGACCCATTGATGTCGCTGGTGTGGAGTCGGACATAAAAGCTTTTTTGAAGTCAGATGAAGGCAACTTACGAGCAGGAACACGAAATGTATAGAAATTTATTGAATTTTGCAAGAAGCATAGACACAGAAATGGTTAAATTCGAACGAAGGGTTTGGAAGATTAAAATGAACATGTCATGAAAGCAGCTGAGGTCAGATGGAGAGCTTGTCGTATTAACAGTTAATGGAAGGAGTGGGGGAGAGGGCACGATCGAGAGAAGGAAGAGAATAGTTGCGTGTGTGCTACAGGACTGGGTATGACAGTGCGGCGCCATTGGCCTGAGATATTTCGGTTTTTGGACAGCCCCGTATCGGACGTCACATTTAAGATGATTGGGCTGGGATGTTCGATTCCTTGAGCAGCGGGCTTCTTTTCAGTCTGGCCAAGGAAACAAGGTAAAATGAAGCCAATATAGGATCGCAGGTTTTTTGGTCCGTTTGGGATTCTGTGGATTGTTGAAAAATTGCATTCTTGTTCACATACAACAATCGAAACTGAGACAAAAAGTTGGTATCCGAGCGTACTGAGAAAGTGCGCATGTGTATTAAAGAAACCTTCCTAAAACATGTTGGCCTCGCCTTCCCAGTGTAACAGTTACTGATAGAGAAGCACTTTATTCATACTGGCTGTAGTATGCTTTTTCCAATTTCTGGCCAGCAAGCCCTTTCTTTTGGAGTACAAGACTTTCTAGCCGTGCGGTAACTGAAGGTGGTAGTACCTGCGCCATCATCAAGTTTCAGGTTGTGCAGATGTTGAGTTGATAGAAGTGTGGACAAAACACACCGTCTTCTTCAAGATATTGACCAAAGTGAGTTCAATCTAAAAAGAGAAAGGATTCCCAGATCTGCGATAACAATGAACGTTGAGCAATACGAACGAAGATGGTCCCGCAACTGCAAGCTCAATTCCTCAATTGATCCAAGTTGGACGAAGAAATTTGAATTACCGATTGAATCCGTACCTAACATAAATTCATATGCACCAGTGAGGAACAGCACCAATGGTGAGCCAGTGGCCCAAATTAGCCAGACTCCGTCAAGAGTGCTGCTGCGCGCACGTATTACTTTGAAGCAAGAGCATTTACAGGGAGATAGTCGGAATGGGAAATTTCTGAATCACTACGACTGAGTAGTCATAAGCCCGGCGTTCTCAATATGAGGTGGAGTAATGAAGGAAACTCGCCACGAAGAGACTGGACCTTACCGTGGCGTGACGGTTTGCGCACCGCAGTGATCCACTGAGCTATACTGGAGAGCGCCCCGCGACACCCAGTCTCTCACACCATATCGGTCAATGGTTAGAGGTCTGACGAACACACGGTTTGCGCAGTGATCCACTGAGCTATACTGGAGAGCGCCCCGCGACACCCAGTCTCTCACACCATATCGGTCAATGGTTAGAGGTCTGGTCTGAACAGTCTCCTGGCCCTACAGGTTGGGGGTTGGAACATGTATGGCGACTTGTTCCGTAGAAAAGGTAATGCATTTGCATTTCCCCGCCAAACATCGCTGC